TCATCTCAATGGACACAGAACTGGACTGATGCAAATGATTATTATCATGAGATTGCAAAGAACTCGTCGAAGTATTCAAATCAGTAGGCAAATGATGAGAACATTGGCATAAAGTGAATAATCACAATTATTTGGATCAATTTTGTGAAGTTCTTCAATGACATTTTGGATGGTTGACTTTTCATGGAGTGAATTCGAAGGAGTGGAAAGAGAAGGATGTTCTGTGATATTCTCTTGTTGCTGCATTTTGGGAGGTGATTGAGTTGGATTGTTTTTTTGAGTTTGGATATTCAATAGTATGGAGGGTTATTAATATCACAACAGTTTCGAATAGCTTGTGTGTGATAAGAAGATGAAGATTAAATGTACGCGCTGTTGGGTTAATGTAATAGAGCATGTAAGAGATTGAGAAAAGGAGTCCTTCATCTTATTTACAATTAGTTTCGTACTTCTAACAACTTGATTGGAAACTGGTTGGAAAATTCCCAAATTAAAACATTCAGCTTTGTTAAATATCAAACATAAAAGTCATTTGTAAAGTACGTCCACTCTTTCGCGCACTAAATTTTTGACTCATGTGAAAAATCGATTGGTAAATTGTTACGTTCTTGCATGAAGCGGTATTTTAAAATTAAGATCCTCATGTGGTAAAGTAAATGAGAATTTGTTGATTTGGAGACATTTTAGGAAGATGACAGTTCTCCCATAACGAAGAAGCGTACTGATTGAAATTGTTCTTTGGTTTCGAATAATGTTAATATTATTACTGTAGTTTAATGTGAAAACTGTAGTTTCTGTGAAATTTTTCCGCCACCAACACGTACTGCAACAAAGTTACATAGAATCATGGGACGAAAGAGATTAATCTCCACTGTATTCTAAGTAATATTTTTTAATGATTCGAATAGTTTCTTTTTCAAGAATTAATATCCAAATTACTTGCCGATTTTAGAAAGTCGACATTCGGCGAAAGAGAGATTGAGCCGAATAACAAAACTTTCCATAATTTTCACTGCATGACCAATTTATTTGATATTGGAAACTGAAATTGACGCAGACGAAACATTTCTTCACTCGCATTACATTGTTTCATGTGAATGTATTCGTCTAATTTTCTTCTCTTGAGGTAATTGTCATCTACAGTGAACCCATTCGAAACTGTAGATTGATGGTTTGTTGATTCGTCTAGTTTCGAATCAATTTCTTCTGATTTCGAAGGTAATGGAATTTGTACAGTTGGTAGATTGTTATTTACATTAATTGGAGGGAGAGTGAGTTCGATATTTGGTACTTCCACCACAACAGATGGAATTTCATTCATATCAATTGGCGGGAGTTGAATTTTCTTTTGGTTTCGTTTGTTTTCTTGTTCGAAAGGACACTTATCAGTATTTTCTTTCATGGTTGACCTAGGTGATGATGAGAATTTGTATCTTCTGATTGGTTGTTGAGCTGGTGGAGCCGAATCATTTTGTACGAAACTTGCTTTGAGGGGAAATGGATTTTGAATTGGTTGGAGGAGAACCTTGTTACTAGGAGAAGGTGGAGAAAGATGTTTTAGAGAGGAAATGGGAGATTGAGTTTCGAATAGTGGTGTCTTGGGAGGTAATTCTTGAAACGAAACTCTTGAAATTGAATTCACCCCAGTTGATTCTTCTTGATCATTATTCATCATTTCAGGAATCTCAACAAGAGAATCATAATACGATACAGCAGAACCCATTCTTATTCTTCTTCTTAATATTCTAAACTAATCTTTCTATATTTAGTTGACTATCTTTATTCTCACTGTGTTGAATTCACTCACAAACACCTCAATTCTTGTCGTTTTATTTTTTTTTGATTGTTGGTTTTAAAAACGCGCTCGAAATCTTAAGTAGGGTTTTGCTTGGTATTCGCGAGAGAGAACAGCAGAACTTTAAATTCCTATTAAGGCGAGTTGCAAATATTCACTTTGGCGGGAGATATGAATCCATACTATTAAAATTACAAGTTTGGAAAGAGATAGTAGTGAGAGATAATTTTAGATGATGAGACATTATTCCACATCAATTGTATTATTCCTAGTTGGGATTATTTAAATTGCAAAGTTGTAAATCGATAAATCTTATATAGGAAGATTGAACATGATAATTGACAATTTAAGAGTGATATTCAATCTCTCGGATCCATGAAACTGCAACTTTTAAGATCTGCAACTGTAACACTCAGTTTACATGAAATTCGAATATCTTTCAAATTCCCAATCAGTCACACAATGATGCACATATTTATCCCATTCAGCTCTCTTAGCCATCTTGAACATGTTGAAATTATGCTCCAGGAAAACTTCCTTCATGAGTGGATCCTTTTCAAATTCCTTAATGGCTTCCAATAAATTTTCAGGTAACAGTTCGAGACCTTCCTTCTTCAATTCCTCATCCGAATAGTCAAAGACATTGTCTGTTCTGGCAGGTGG